AGTCATGCTGCACAACCACTCCCAAGTCCTTGTACTCAGTGACCACTGGGAGAGTAATGCCATTCATTGAGTAATTGTGCACGTGACTATGAGATACATGCATAACTACACTCTTGCTTAAGTTAATCTCCAAGGTCCAGTGCTTACACCAATCACCTAACAAGTTTAAATCTTCCCGCAAAGCAAGTTGATCACTGTCATCGTGTAAAGCCCTCCATACCTTGATGTCATCAGCAAACAGTAAGCAGGATGACTTAACTACCGATGGAATCTCATTAACATAAATCAGGAAAAGAAGTGGGCCTAGAATTGTACCCTGAGGAACGCCACTCTTAACCGATTCCCATGTTGATAAAACCCCGTTAGCTCGTACTCTTTGTCTTCTGTCCTTTAGACAGTCTTGAATCCAGTCGCCAACCACTTTATTGATTCCCAGACTACCTAACTTTACTAGAAGACCTGAATGAGAAACCCTGTGAAACGCCCTGCTAAGGTCAATGAATGTGGGATCCACCGGTATATTAGCATCAGCTGAGCTTGCCCAACTTTCTCTGGCCAAAAGACGGTTGGTCAAGCAAGAATGACCTGCTCTAAAACCATGCTGTTCCACAGCGAAAAGTCTGTTCCCTTCAATGAACTGAATGATAGCATCACGAATTATTCTTTCTAGTAGTTTAACAACAATACTGGTCAAACTAACAGGAAGATAGTTCTGAACTAAGTTTCTAGATCCGGTTTTGAAGACCGGACTAATGATGGCATCTTTCCAGTCAGTCTCTTGGACATTTAGACTGGTCCAGAGACATATTGAAGATTACCGACAATGGCTCGGCTATGTTTTCAGCCAATGCTGTTAATATACGTGGGTGGAGTTCATCAGGGCCACTGGACTTACCAGGATTGAGCCTTAGAAGCCACTTTAGGACAGTATCCTTTCCAATGTATAAGGGTGCCATTTTCAAGTTACCTTCTGGAAAAGTTACAAAGCTGGTATCAATATTATCAGAGAATACTTGACTAAAGTGCTTGGACAAAGCCTCAGCCTTAGTCAAGTTATCCTCACCCATGTTTGTCTGGTCATCTTCAAGCATAAGAGGTGGGATAGCATCACTCTTACGTGTTCTTCTCTTGATATATGAGAAGAATCATTTTGGCCAGCCTGGTGAACTTTTAACTAACTGGGTTTCGTAAGCTATCCTTGACTGGTGAATCAAAGTTTTACACTGGTTTCTGGTTTCACAGTATTTCAGCCGGAACTGCTGTAGCCCAGTAGAAACAAAGAGATTCCAGAACATTTTTCTCCGTCTTAGGAGTGTTATAGCTTGTCTATTTATCCATGGTGGCCGATTTGTTGGCCTTTTAGGAACCCTCCAGGGAATGAAATCAGTGGTAACCCTCTCAAGTGTATTCTTAAATCTGTCCCATTCATCTTCCATGGATGAGACCATATTGACTGACCAGTCGGTAGTTGAAGCACGCTCCTTTATAGCGACTATGTCAGCATGCCAAACACTAGGTCGGGATTTGGGTTGAAAACTGACTAAATTGCCAACCCTTAAGTTAAAATCTAACACCCCATGATCACTGTTTGCTAGAGGTGGATGAATAACTAGACCATCCACGTCGTCGTTGTCATGAGTAAGCACTAAGTCCAGCAAGGAAGATCCTTGGGTAGAACCGAATCTTGTACTACCTAAGACAGGTTGTGTCAGGGCATTTTCCATGGTAGTCAAGAGTAACCGGCTGTCAAACTTATTAGCGGATCCTGGAGATGTGACAGCTACCCAGTCTATATGAGGTGCATTAAAGTCACCTAGAATAAGACAACTACTGTGTTTACTCCATTGTTTGAGGTGATCTAAAATAAATTCATCTCACTGACAATAGGGACTTCTATGCAGAACTCCAATGAGTAGAGTGCCAGTTGCAAAGCTTACTTCACAGCTAATTACCTCACTTGTCCCACTGTCATTCGCTTCAGATTTCACGGAACGAACATGTAGGGAGTATTTGATGTACAGAGCAACCCCGCCACCTCTACGACCCTGAACCCTGTCGCTGCGCAAGCAACTAAATCCGCATACCTCAGGTGTGTCATCTGATCCAGAAACCAGCCATGTTTCAGTAATGGGCACAAGACCTGGGCTAAGGTCTTTCACTAATACACCTAGCTCGTGAAATTTGTTCCCGATACTACGTATATTAGTGTACACTACCTTCAGGCGTCCTATGCAGTCTGGCTTATCTACACAGGTCTTGGAAGCATACGTTTCCAAGATCTGACTATTTGAAAAGCCACCAGTTTAAGGTTAGTCTCACCATTTTCACGTCTTGTTTCTAGCTGGGACAAAACTTCTTTTCGTTTAAGTCTGTCTTCAAGAGATAAATCAGGTCTGACTGAAATCCCTGACCCAGCAAGGTTGTGTACATTAGCCAGTAGATGATTCCGTTCATCAGGAGAACCTAAGATTACTTTAAGCAACCTACGCTGATTAGAACATTCATCATCTCTTTTGCCTATTCTAATTAGCTTTTTAATCGATACTCCAGGGAAATTCGCTGGAAGCATCTTCCTTATAATACTACTCACTAATTTAAGGTCGTGATCGTGCCTTTTCACGGGTTCAGATTCTTTGGACTCTTCTAAATTTCCAACAATTATGTTAGAGTCTAAGGAGAGAATTTCGGTTCAATGAGACTAAAGATGTCATCTAGCAGGGATGCATTTTCGAGTGAGTTATGCACGGTCGCGATTGTCTGTAGTTTATTTATTTATTTATTTATTTAAACGCATTAAAACTTGGTACAATATGGCACCAAGAAGGATGCGCCACACAATAATAATAAAACAACATAGATAGAAAAAAAAGGAAGGAAGGCAGGAAAAGAAAAAATATATATAAGTAGAGAACGAATAAAGAACTTCATCTGGAAGGAAAACACTCATTCTTAACAGGTTCAAACAGTGTTCGTTAACTATCATCGGGAATGGAAGAAAGAAGGAAATCGCAACACATTTGCCATTGATTACGATTCTTGGCCATATCCGATAACGTTTCGAGCCATCGATTTGAGCTATCTCTCAGACCCCAACCAGGGAGTCGTGACACACCAACCGATGCTAATCTAGCACAGAAATCCTTCATCCCACGACGCTACGTCATGGGCTGACCACCTCTCCGCCTTTTCCATCCCGTCCCAGGGCTAGTGAACAGAGACATGTATGGAAGCCTCTGGGGTGACATTCACAGCACATGTCCAAGCCACCGGAGCCGGTGTTTCCAGATGACGACATTCAATGAATGGTGATCTCCACTGTGTTCAAACACACGCCGCCGAACCTCAGAATTACTCACGCGATGATGCCATCGAACGCAAGCAATCCTGCGGAGACAGCGGTGATCGAACACGCAGAGTCGCCTCACATCCTCAGCTCGGAGAGGTCAGGTTTCACAGGCGTAGAGCAGCGCAGCCCGCACCGAAGCATTGTATACCCGACCTTTGACAGCCAGGCTAACGTCGCGACGGCGCCAGAGGTGGCTCAAGTTGATGTATGCCACCCTAGCTTTCATTATACGGTTGGAAATCTCATCCGTCACCCCTCCGCCAGCACTCACACAACTACCTAGGTACACAAACTTATCGACAACTTCAAGCGGTTCACCCGCAAGAGTGAGTGCAGGTACAGGCTCCTGCCAATCTTGCAACAGTACTTTGCACTTAGACGGCGCAAAGCACATACCATACTTACAGACACTGATCGCCAACTGATTAAGTGCGATTTGGGCAGCCTGCATGCTATCGCACAGTAAGACGATATCGTCTGCATACTCGAGGTCGAAAAGTCTATCTCCAGGTAGCAGATCTACACCACCTTCACGCACATCCTTCAGAGCTGACTCCAGAATGTCATCGATGGCAAAGTTAAAGAGAAATGGAGAGATTGGGCAACCCTGTCTAACCCCACTGTTGGTTGGGAACAGTGGTGATAGTTGGTTGTATGCCCTCACTCTACCTGAGGTGTTTCTGTATAGGGCTTTCAAGATGTTAACAAATTTCTCAGGTACACCTCTCTCTAACAGACAGTTCCAGAGCACAAATCTATCCAGCGAATCGAAGGCAGCCCTAATATCAAGAAATACAACGATTGTTGGCCTGCAATACGTGTGGCGTGAACACATGATCAATGAACGAAACCCAGCCTGCTCTTCGCGAATCAATCCTTCACGTATTTTGCACAGTCTGCGAAGCATGACAGCAGCCAATATTTTAGACGCAACTGGTAACAGACTGATACCCCTATGGTTGTCACACGAATTACGTCGACCCTTTTTAAAGATGGGGACGATAATGGCTTCGTTCCACATTGATGGTACGCTCTCTGTCTCCCACACCCTCCTGAACAACCCAGTTAGAGCCATTATGAGAGTCTCGCCACCATCTTTAAAAAGAGCCGGGGGTAATTTGTCTGGGCCGGGCGCCTTATGGCGTTTCAGAACTTGGAGTTCCTTACGGACCTCCGCTTCGGTGGGTGGGTCGGTACTAACCGACCAAGGAGCACTCGGGCTAATGATAGTAGACAATGAAGCTGGTGGCCAGCTGAACTGCTTCCCGAAGTGCTCTGCCCAGCGTTCCAGGCGTCTCTTCAGGCTGGTAATTGGAGTGCCATCTGCCTCACAGACCGTCTCACTGACACCTTGTTCCTTGCTGCCGGTGGCTAGTATGAGTTGGAACAGCTTCCGACTGTTGCCAGATGCAGCAGCTGACTCCATCTCATACGCACGTTCTGACCACCAGGCTTCGCGGTCCTTACGTAAACACTGTCTAATCTTGCGCGTGAGCGCCTTTCGCTGATTGTTGTATTCACTGCCAGCCGGAATGTACCGGCGTTCATCCATGAGTTGCAAGGAACTCGCAGAAACCCAGTGGTTGTTAGCGGAGCATTCTTTCAAGCCGCAAGCGGCTACACTCGCTTTTTGCATGGCACCTTGCACATGAAGCCAGTGTTCATCTATACTACTTGGGGGGTTGCTGGTAAGCATTGTTTCCAACTCATTCTGATATTTCAAAGAAGTAGCAGGTGCTACTAGTTTGCTCACATCAACGCTTAGACGACGGTTTTTACGAACCCCACCAAATCGCAAGACGGACTTGGCACACACTAACGCATGATCGGAGTCCAGGCATGTGCTCCAGAAGGAGCGACAGTCTTGTATGCATCCTCGCCACCGGAAACTGACCGCAATATGATCAATCTGAGTCCAAGCTTGCTTCGCAGAGGTAGGACGCAAGGTAGCGCTACGGCGATGGTTGTGCCGGAAGTTGGTGCTGGCTAGAAATAGGTTGTGATCCGCACAAAGCTGCAGAAGACGGTCCCCATTATCTGACTTGCGACCATGTAGTCCCCACTGACCACCTAGACGACTCTCCTCTGAGCTTAGACGCCTGACCTGTGCATTAAAGTCCCCAGCTAGCACTACGATATCCCCCCGACCCGCCTGTTTCAACAGATCGCTCAGTTGGTAGTAAAACTCATCCTTCATTGCATCCGGGATGCAATCCGTCGATGCATAGGCAGAGACAACAAATAGACACCGCCTATCTGGCCTACTAATCCTTACTTTCGTATATCCTTCCAGCCTCACAGCACATAAACGACTGTTAATGGGAATCCAGTCGAGCAGTGCAGCTTCGGCTCTAGCGCTCAGTGCGACACCGATACCAGCTACGCCGGATGCCGATGCCCCAGGGTCCCCGGATAAGCGCAGGTGGTACATACTACTAGAACTTCCAGATGGAGAGGATAGTCGAAGCACTTCACTGGAATCTTAAATGCGGGTCTCCGAAATGCAGCAGACATCGATAGCGAGGCTTTCCAAAGTTCTTGCCAACCCTGCCTGTTGTCCGATTCGCATCAGCGTCCGAACATTGTAGGTAGCCAGCTTGAACGCAGCACGCGGTTTCAGGATATCTGTGTTAGAAGTCACATTGGGAACAAACATTTCGAGGACTACTCACTAACATCTCGAAACGACACGGATAGGCTGGGAATCTCGACAAAGGCGAAAGGCTGTCGAAGGTTAAGAAGCCAAGGTTAGCAAAGGTAAAATACAGGAAACTATGTGTAAAAATAAAAGTAAGATAGGAAAGAAATAAGTTGCTTGAGGGATCCATATTGCTTGGAATCATTTTTACTAGCGCGCGTTGAGTTTCAATGAGAGTTCGTTGCTTCTATTCATTCATTGTGTGCGGGCTGAGGTACCGCCCGGGCGCCCAGACCAAAGCAGGTGGTTTTATTAAGGGACCACCCCCCGAGCCTTTGACTTGGAGTCTAATCCGCAAAGCAGCGGAGCAGCGTCAGGAGCTGCATTCCCATGGTTGCCGGTGACCCATATGGGTTCATACGCCATTCGATCCAATTGGAAACTGGAGCCCATGTACCCCATAGTAACTGCTTTTAGTTTAACCGCTATCCAGAAAAACCTCCCTGACATGGTAGGACCTGTAGAGACAGAGTCCCAGTCAGTTCAGCTTCTTGGGTCATTGCGGTATTCAAGCCCGACCACCACGACAAGGTAGCAGTTATCGGCCGGGAGTGTCTGTAGGCACTCAGTTAGATATATTTGAGAAAGACGGAGTTCGAACAATTAAAGTTGACTGTATTACAAAATCCATCGTAAAAATTCTTTGCGAAAACTGACCTCATAATATTCACACAGTACTCTGATTGCGTTCCTTCCAATCTCTCACACGTTTTATCTTACGATTTTCTCATAATAAGACCGGCAATTTTCGTGATATCTTTCATTCGAATCGTGCTTTCTCTCGGAGTCACCTTTCACTTTAAGTCACCGTTATGATTGTATAGTGCATTAGATCCACTGAATGGTCAATCATATTAAGGGAGACGGGCAATCACCACTACATCTGTGTTTTCGCTGAATATCATGTATAGATGTGCGTGCATCAGTACAATCATACTGTCGACCTGTCTGTATAAACTACAGGTCCATGAATAGTCTGATTCTTGACGTCAGTCAGTTTGATGTATCTGAAAATCTACTTGCGCTTACATTACCACCTTCTCTGCCTGCTGACCTCCTATAGCTCATTTCTGTTTGACTCACTGCTTAGATCCTATTTTTCAGAATAAAGATTAACTGACTCTCATATCTAATTGAGAAAATTGTTTCGTAGATGTTATTTTTGGAATATGTATACATATATATATACATATATATATATATATATGTATATATATATGTACATAAATATATATATATATATATATATCAGGTCTATTTGACGCAAGGCAGATGGATAACACTGTTGTATTCGATAATAGCAGTTGCGAATTTGGATTCTAAAGCTATTGGGAATAAGCAGTGACCCTGGTGTTCACTCTAAGCAATGACACACTTCTGTAAAATGAAACTATGTACAGATATCTCCTTGTGGAAATCGATGTATTATGTAGCAAGAGAGTTTAGTGAACATCAATGGACGGCTGCCACATAATATATGCCTGCAATATGTCGCGTGTTACTGTCGATGATAAAGAGACTTCGGTGTTTCCCTCGAAATGTTCCAATGTGGCCACGCGTTTACTGCCACTGAGGAGTAGTTCCTAATCTCTTCTTTAAGATATATACGTTGCGGGCATACGTGAATCAACAGCCGCCCACACTTTCCTAAATCACACGATGACCTCTTGCTCATCCTCTTCCTCTACCCCTGTCACGCTCATCATCCTGCTTGCGTACTACTGGGAGCACTATTCTGCAGTCTATTCAATCATCTTCATTTTTTCCGTAGCCAGAAATAACGATGAGATTCAGGAAAACACCCCTGATAGCCTCTCGAGCCACGCTGCCAACTTCATACCAGAGCATTTAAAGTCAGGCCCCTTAACAAATCGGACAACAGACATCACTAGCAAGAACTCTGGTATCTCGAGCCATGGATGTACGTTGCATCTCGGAGACATACATACAAGACCCGAGTGTGGATATTTACCTAACCCCACCCGGCAAACAAGATGAATCTGTGAATTTCATCTTAAGGGTGTCAGGAGACTCCTCAGCTAGTTGGTGAGGACTTACAGGTGTAGGGATTGCATCGATTGTTAGGGCAGAAAAGTCACTTCTTGACTGGATCCAAATAGATAGTCGTATGTGTGCGGTCCGTTTGAATGGGTCTGTTAGAAGAAGCAGGGACGGCGTTACCCGTCGTTGTCTTTTCATAGTCTCCGCTTACGCCCCAAGCGACTGCACTTCGGATGAACTAAAGAATGATTCCTACCAGAAACTGTCTATTTTGCTGCAAAAAGCGGAACGCTCAGATATAGTAGTTTTAACAGGCGACGTAGGGAAGTTAAACCAGACTGAAGAGTATATAGGTGGTACGCATGGAGTTCCCTACCGACAACGGTGATCGTATTCAACAATTCTGTTTATCTGTTTCTAGTCAGCACTAACTTTAGGCAGAGACATTGTCTAAGCTGGCGACCTCCATCACCAAATCAACGCTGGACTCAGATAGACCACATAGCGATAAAGTATCGTTGGCGGGAGTCCTTCGGGAACAGTTGTGTAGAATCCGATCGCGTCCTGGTTCGCGCAAGTTTATGCTTACGACTGAAGGGATATAAAAACCAGTTGTAAGCGAAGCAGTAGCGCACCCAACTAGAACAAGACACTCAGTCCCGATTCAAGAAATACATAGCGAAACAAGTATCTCAGGTCAACAAAAGGACTCCTCATGAGCAAAACTGGTACAATAAACAGTTAGCTGCAGACACAAATCCAAAGGCTGTAAATCACCAAAGAGCGAAAAATAGTAAGAGCCAGCGAATTTCTACTACCTCATTCAAGCCCACTAACCCAAAAAAGACTGATTCCGGCGAGCTCCCAATATCATGAGGAGCAAGAGCTGTTCAAACACAAACTAACGAGAAGTCTTCACAACGACCGTACACAGTGGTGGGCGATAAAAGCAAAAGACATGGAAAGGGCATTGGCGATAGGTAACACAAGACAACTATTTAGACTTATCAGGGAAACAGATGGCAAAAAGCAAATGATAAGTGAAACAATCTCAGAGAAAAATTGCACTCTAATTAGCCCTCAGGATAGACGACTGGAACTTTGGAAACAACAATTTGAGGAGCAATCTGACTGGCCTATAACCACGCTCAACTTACTGGGCATCCAACGCCGCCCTACATGACATGTGAACACAGGTCCTCAATCCTCTTCTTCCTCATTCTCCCCAAATGAGGTTACAAAGGCTGTCTCAAATCTGAAACGAGGTAAAGCAACGGGACCTGATGGAATGACTCCAGAGGTGTTCAGGGATGGTGGAGACAGTTTACTGTCTGAGCTTACTGAGGCATTAGACAGTGTTTGGGAGTCAGAGATAGTCGCGTCGGACTGGTGTAAGTCATTGATTACCCTGATGTTCAAGAAGGGAGACAAGTCTTCCTTCTCCCTGTGATAATCATAGGGGGATCGGCTTGACCAATATATAGTGTCTAAAGTTCTAGCCTCAATAATCATGCGTAGACTAAGCAATGCTCGGGGGAAACAAACAAGAGAACCAGGCGTCAGGCTGTAGACCACGAAGAGGGTGTATCGATCATATCTTCATCCTACGACAGATTCTCCAACTCAGGCATAACTACCGGCGTCCAACAATCGTCTGTTTGTCGATCAAAGTACATGTTTACTGCTGAGCAATTCCCTTTGTCCCCCTAATGTCAGTCAGTGAGGCATGACCATTAAAAGTCGAAGGATTATATGAAAAGGTTAGCTGTCTTTGACCATAGGTGCCTGCATTCGATCTTCCGCCTTAGATAGCGAGGCTAGATGGTTATACTGGAGCAAGAAGAAACCGGTCAGAGAAACATCGCCTTTTTATTATCGCTGCCTATGCACTGATGGATTGCAGCTCGGATACACCTGAGCATGAGTTTTACTGTCAACTGAGTAAGTTTTTAGAGAACACTTGTTCGGCGGATATTGACGTGCTGACTGACCACTAGAATGGACACTTCGAGTATCTAGTCCCAGATGAGTCTTTTACTAGGTGGACTATCTTCTACGGTTTTGCACATGCAACAAAATATCTGTATCCAACACCAATCTCCGGAAAAGGCATCAACACAGTTCTGAATGTCACTATCCATCGTGGGCCCAAATACATCATTTTGCTGAGACGTCAAAGACGTGTGCACACTGAAGTCTCGTCCTCTTCTCTTTGAGCACTTTTCAGGATCCTGGTTGTGTTCGAGTGTGTGCCAAGTTTATATCGCAACTTTATGGCTTTCATAAACCTTGTCGTAGGCAATATGAGTGGAATGTAGACGTATACTGACTGGAATTTAGAGGTATATGGAAGGTGGTAAGTGAAGCTAGTTGCGGCGTTTATGATTGACCCGGTGAGAACCACTGGGTTTCTACGAGTACCTACTTTATAACCAAGTGACATTTCGATGACAATTTGTCGTTCATAATCATATTAGAGACATGGGTTTTAGGAATACATTGTGCTCGGAACTTCATCCGATTATCGATAGTGCACCCCTTCAGTTTTATGTCAGACAAACTTATCTAATATGGAATTATATGCGTCGGTGGCACAGCGGTAGAATGCTCGCTCAGCACTCCTCGAGTGCGTCGGCCAGGGTTCGAACCCAGGCATGAGGCTAGCTACCCTGTCTTGCAAAGATAAACACTATTGCTACCGTAACTTCAAGCCTCTACCTTGAAGCCCTATGTTCCACTGGGAACATGAAGGAATCAAAAATAATATGTAATTAGGTCCTGCAGAGTGACTAACTTCTATTGTTACATTAATTCATCAAACAAAGGGGAGATCGGAAACCAACTCAAACTGCTAGAACTCCATAGGACACTCGGGTCACTCAACTTACGCCCTGCTATTTCGAAAAATGTTGTGAAGTTCTTGTTCAGGAACTTACTGGGTTGTCCAAGAAGGTATGGGAAGGTGAGAATTCTTCGTCAGCATAAAACAAAACTATTATCAAGCCTATCTTCAAAAACGTCTACTTAGTCGGTGTAACAATCATCAGATAATGGGTCTGTTTTATGAAAATTTTCAAATTAAGGGTAGAACATAGAATAGTGGTGGACCTCAACTTATTAGTTGTATTCATAGTACATCGAGCTGTTAGCAGTTTGATGGAACTGCAAAGATACCAATAGGGGTTTATTCCTTGGTTGGCTGGTGATTTGATATTTACATTACTAACTAGAATGCATACACACAAAAACAATTGATTGCATTCACTTATACAGTGCGATACATTTGTGTCTCAATCAATACTGCCTGAGAATTTAAACCTGAGTTAAAGATAGCCAATGACATTTTGAAATCAAAAGACAAAACACACACACACGAAAAAATTTCAACAGTAGTCTTATTTAATCAGAAAAAATATTATCGAGGATGTTTAAAAAGGGGGCAGCATGCCATTGTTATATCAGTTGAAACGTCCAAATTTTAAAAGTGTGAGGTTGCCATAAAGAAACAGAAAGTGGCGTCTAATTACACAAATGTGGCTTGTGTGTGTAAATGCACTTTGAAGACTAAGCAAAAATCTGAAACTTTGGTGTCTACCACCATTGAAAACAAAACATTGCGAAAATGAAAGCACATTCATGCTAAGAGGAGGAAGACAATCTACACAGTGTTTTATTGATCAATATTTTTGCAAAAAAAAAACAACTTTAAAAAAGCACAATATAACCTAAAACATAGTCCCTTTTTGCAACACAAATGTAGAATAAAACCGGAGTAGAACAGTAGCGAGTTTCGACATTTCTTCAAATATTTAACTTGCTCTTGTTTTATTGCGATTTTGACCACGTCTGGAGACACCAGAGCCTTGTCTTGATACCTGATCAAAATTCTTTTCAAAAGTACCATGACCCGATTCACTCGGATGTTTTTCATGGTCACCAGTTGACATAACACCTAAAAATTACAAAAACCTGCAATTTAGATTACAACTACTAGAGACACTGAAAAAAGAAAAAAAATAGACCATAGGGTTTTTGGAAAACACGACTAGGAATATAACAGAGAAGGAGTGATTTATCCACGAAACACTGGGTAATATATCAGTTCAATGTTCAGTGCAACAAAGAACAGTAGAAATCCAAGTTCTGCTTAATAAATATGATGCTCTTCATGCTTAGTAGTCTTCAATGGAAGCAAAATGACGAGTGACAACCAATCTTCTATGCGACTATAATAATATAATACCAGGAGATTAAAAACCAGAATTACACAGCAGAAAATATAGGCAGTGTTCTTCTTATTTGAGCATTTCAATGTTCAAGAATGAACTGCTACTCGACGTTAATCTCATTCTGTAACGTTACAAATAATGCTAGCGATCATGATTTTATCTGTTTGGCTGACGGTAGATGACTTTCAAAGTAAATTAAGACAAATGTGTTCAAATTAGAATCTCTTCAAAGTTCTAAAGGGTTTTAAAAGTCTTGACAAGGTGCTCGATACTGTAAGCCAATATATTTATGTGTAGTTAAAAGCGTCAATTTATGCACATTATTATTCTGCAACACTGATATATCTCGAGATTTTAAGTCTTCGTCGAGTGCAAGAATGATGAGTTTATTCCTAACAAGTAGACGATGACATAGGGTGAATCACACAGGGAACAACAAACGGAAAGGTTCTAGCAGTTCAAAAGGAATTGTGATGGCCTATAATAACGATGCATAACACCGATTGATGCTCTCTACTAGAGTAAGAATACAAGCAAAGAGAATGAACAGTATAATCATTTAATAATTCAGTATACCATTGGAATAACCATCTTGTGAATCGTTGTTGGGGTGTGGACGATTCCTCACAGAACCATTAGGTACATCGAACTGATGAGTGCTTCTGCCACGTGGACGGTTTCCGCGTGAATTAGGCGGACGAGACATTTCTGTATTATCCGTGGACTGGTCGGGAATTGAATTGTCTGGTAGACGGCCACCACGACCCATAGGTCTGTTTCTACTGAAAATAATAAATATGTAAAATACATTTATTTACACGGAATGAAGGACGACAGAATAACCAGTACTCTAAAGCTGATCAAAAATAGCAATGAGATTAATAAGCTTTTTTTGAACCGATGTATTATATGCAGGTTTCAGGTCTGATTTTGAAGTCATAGACCATGTCACGAACTTAATTTGTCCATAAAATCACTGGGGCTTGAAGCCTGCTACATCTCTTAATATGGAGGTAATGTCCACTGATCTAGCGGTCATATGACGAGGATAGTTTCAGAACAATTCCCTAATGAATGCCCGTTACTTCCTTCAAATGGCGCAGTACTTAGTCACAGGTGAGGTGCACTCTTAAGCATGGTTTAAAAGTGAACCTTATTAGCTTTTTCTTTAAAAAAAACACCAGGATAAACTATCTTCCAGTAATGACGTATTGTTTGCAGTCGTCTTTAGACAAGTATCAACTAATATTATCTGACAATATCCACTAACGACAAAGAATAGTACCGAGAAAACACAAGAATAGAAGTATATCACAAGAAGGAGAAAGGTTTGACAACATATGGTGCAAATCGGACTAGAATATCCAGTTCCACACATTCCAAACGTCAAGTGTTTCCAGTAACTGAATTAAACAAAGTTCTTGAATGAATGCTTAAAAATAAACACGACAGTAGAACATATACATATATAAAGCTGGTGAATTAAGAGCGTCTAAAACAGCTAAGATTAACGGACATTAAAGACTGCATAAATCGAAAATATGTGACCATCAATCTAGTGGATTAGCTCACCCGAAATTCCCGCCTCTGATGGACCTGCCATTGGAGGAGCGTCCAGGGGAAAGGGAATCCGCCTTGTTGACCATTTGAGTAGTTTGACGTAACTGGCTAAATAACGTCCTTCGAGTTTCCTAAATCAAAATGTGAGACCACAGAATAATTGATGGAAAATATTAGTAAATAGGTAATCTAAATAAAACTAAAGTGAAATATTTTACAATAACTAAAAGCCATCATTGTATGATGCCTTAATGAGTGTTTATGACAAATTGAAATACCTATATTAAAAAGTGAGATACCTTCTCGAGGAAAATAAGCCATAGGGCAGTTAAAGGCAAATGGACAGACAAAATTACTTAATTTTATCTTTACAAACATGTACTACAAATAGCATACCTCTAATTCATCTAATTCATTCCAATTATCCGCTTGAAATTCCAGAAGCAAACGCATTTTTGCGACAGATGAACGTGTACCAACAAGCGAGAAAGCAGGAGGCAGATCAACGACATCATCAGAGTCTTTGTTGCCTTCCAAGGAGACATCTAAGTTGATAGTAACTTTATCATCACCGTTGTTCATTCCTTCACCGTTTGAAGTATCTTCATTAACCTTCCCATCCGTTACACAACTTGTCTGATCCTTTTCAACAAGTGTTGCTAATTGATTCCGACGTTGTGCCATATGTCTACGTTTTCTGGTAACAGGATCCAACAATTCAGCTCGACGAACACCTGCAGCTTCTGCTAACTTACGAATATTCATCCCTTTGGATCCAATAAGTCGACTTGCTAGTCGTGGTTGAACGGGAATTTCAACTTCTGTAAAATCTAGCAGGTTTCGGACAGAGTGACAAGCCTCGATTGTCTAAGAAATGAAATAACAAAAATTGAAAATAATCTTTCTACGCTACACTCAATTTTGAAACTAAATCTTTTTAATCAAGGATCTCCATTTAAAAATTCCTATAGGCGAATACTACAGCTAATGATGTGAGACACAATTCACTGTACGTATTATTCGTAGATTGAACTAGTGAAACAAAGGTCAACAGACATTATAAGCATAAAACTTAGTGTTAATGGATGTTACATGGTTGATACGCTAAATCATGAAATCATTGCCCAATATGCGTACAAAAATGTTTTTAGTATCCACCAGGTTCCGCGTAACATATATATATACAAAAATCATATCGAATGAAAGTAACTACCGAGTGTATCCCTGGAGCATAAGAGATAATATCCGGAGCTTTTGTGGAATGAATCATAAGTACCTTTATTGTACATATTGATATGAGACAGATAAACCCCAGAAATTTCATAAATTAAGTGTATGATACGTATTGATGTAAATTTTTTAAATTTAGTTACGACTCTCTGAAGCCTACACAGAGAGGTTGGCTTACTCCAAGTGATTGATAAAGAAGAAAAGACAAATTAGAGTGATCAAATGAAAGCATATTACGAGCTTATGTAGTTTATATGGACTGAAGCGTCTACACAAATGCCGATATGACCAAAACACAACTAAGATTAGTGGTAGGAACCCAAAAGTGATATTTATTGAGACATTTTCCCTTGAAGTTGAATATTTTCCTTTCATATGCTTGTAATCTTTTCTTTAGATTTTAACTGGTATCCGCATACCTGTTTTGTTTGCTCTTCTGAGTTAAAGGATGTTGGTATATGAATTAGTAAATAACTATGACTATTTATGGATGTTTCACTACTTCACAGTAGTCAACAATTAGATTAATTGCTATCCTATGTAAACAAACAGTTCCTCTAAATGTCTCTAAAAGGAGTCCTGGTATTCGAGCTTAACCGGTTAACCCTTTTGCTTTTCAGTCAGTTAACTTTGTAACAATAAACTTTCTTACCGGTTATAAGTCTCTCACAACCAAGACCCTTACTTAAAACATCCTTACTACTCACCATATTACTTTGTACTAAAAGTTGTTTACTTTGATAATTCAAGTTGTATTGCTATTCCCAGAGCTTCCCCCTCTAGCTGTCGACTTCAATTTCCTTTAATGAACCTCTGATACATGGCCTTGTGACTCTTTTATATTGTCTCACTGTTTATATAGCATACAGTAGAATATATAAAGTACGAAAATAAACTAGAGTTATTTGAAGGAAAACGACTTAGTAAGTACATCGCCAAGAATCACTTTTTTCACTATCAAAGTTATATGTATGGAAAGGTAGACATTCTATATCACTTTAATACTACTAACGTTTTACCTTTAAAAGGCGGAAAAAGTCGACAGGTATTTCGACGCATAGACTCACCTCAGCCTCGACATGGACTATTCCATCGTAAAGAAGATCTACTACACGAACCCCAGGTATTGCTCGAGCCTCTTGAATAGTTGCACCACGGTGTCCAATTGCGAGACCGATAAGATGTGGTAAAATGCGGAAACGGCATTGATACCCAATAATCATTCCTCTAGACGATTGTTTATCGTTTGAAGCAGATGCTGGCATACTTATGGGCTTGCAGTGCATTACTGGCGTATCACCATTTTCTGAATCAAAATCAGCAGTGTTGGATAATTCCAATTCTCCTGTCTCTCCTTTAGACAGGTTTCGAAGCTGGAAAGTAAATAAAATTTGAACAGTTTAAAACCAGTTTCTTTCAAGTGATGTGAGTTCCCTAGCATATAAATACTAGAAGTCAATATGTGAGAGGCGACATTCTTTAAACCCGATGATAGTCACGTTTGTGCATGATATCGATGACAATGAATGCGTAAATCTGCACCACTGTTATCGACTTCAAGTTATGTCACCAGAAGTGTACTTTATCCCCGATCCTCTGCAACTTGACGGCCCTTATTAGAAAATTCACAACACTTCAGATGGACCAACCAAAGAATTTCTAAACTGTGATATTCTTCGCCACACGACTTTTAACTCTTGCAATCTAATCCTTTTTGAGTAAAAATCACTTGTCATAGAAGGCAATGGTATCGTATATGTAACAATATCACCTCAGTTGAAGATTTAAAACTTAGTCGACTGATTTAACTAACACTATATCCCACTGAATACTGATAATCAAATGTAATATCCTGAATTTCTCACATATTGTGCTTTCAACGGTCATGAAAAAGCGATAAATTAGGAAAGGTTGCACTGTTGTATAGTACGCACAACAGTGGCTTTGTGACTGCAGTCAGAGACAGTATATGTGAAAACATATTGGATGGGTCTTTTGCATCTGCGATGACCATGTTTGACGTACACACTAAAAATCGGCAGTTAAATGAATGACCTCTATTTTGAATTAAAATCGTTTATGACTACCAAAAATAGTTATTCATCTGTAGGTCAGTAGAAGAACCAGAAACTGGGATTCATTCAACTAAGCTTCATTAGTATCCAAAAGGAATAATAGAAACAAATTTGTTATATGAAGAGCACTGATATAACAATGGTGAAAACAATTATTTACCGCATCTTGCGTAAAGATAATTTTAATTTCGCAAACTTACCAAATGGTATCTGACAGCTAATAAACGAACATGACCTAATTCCAAGAACGTTGCACGTCGAATAGCTTCGGCAGAACCAGACCAAATATGCAACAGTACAAGTGGTCCGTTAGCTCCAGGCAAACCTGTCAACAAGATATTTGGGTCCGTTATGCCAGCTGGACTCAATGTACCCGCGATATGCGGAATATTCATAATGGCTGATTGAGATATTAAGGGGGGTGAAGGCCACGTGTATGTAGATAGGCACAGTGATGGGCTTACTGATCCTGAATCACCACGAGCTGGAGTGTGCTGACCAGATTCACTACATCCTTCTTCTCCTAATATTGATTTCGCAAATGTGCCCGGAAGGAATGGTTCAGAGTCACACTGAATAAGACACGGGGCGCCACAAAATTTGGCTATAGTCGTATGCGATTCTGGAGTAGTTGCTCTAAACAAAAATAGGAAGTAAATTTACTTGATTAACATTTATAATATATATAAACAGCTTTAGCGGAACGAAATCCACAATATTCAAATATTAGATACAACTCGAAAAGGATTGTTGGGAACAAACATTCTCAAGCAGTAGCATACAAAACATCGGAAATTATACTTTTGGCCAACAGCTTGAACAAGTTACGTGTACATGAACAATTTCTTCATCTGCTCAAACGATGCTTATATGTTGGAGTTCTTAATAAACCCCACAGTGAACTTTAGACTGGGGCGAATTCACCGGAGCATTCAACCTCATACACTTCGGCGTTTCATCGATTAACCAAGACGAGTTCTTTTAATTACAGAAAACTTCATGTCACGCATTGACCACTCAAAACAATTATGGCAGGAATTAAAAACATGCATATATATGGACCAGCGTGCAACCAACAATTCAGAGAATGTATAAAGCTATACACAAGTGTCTGTCTGTGTTCACATTGTGCCATTTAAAATAAAACTAACCCTGAATGGTTCTATTTACTTTGATATGAAGACTATTTTTCGGATTATTAAGCTTGGTCGAGAATAGCTACCAGAATGAAATTGCAGCAGGGCATATGTATACATATTTATCTACACTTCAAAAAGTTATTATTGTGCGCTTTTTATTATTTTTTTTTATCTAGGCTTGTTATTTTACCCTTTTTAGTACTGTCACTCTATTTAACATTGTTCTTTGAAAAGAAATAGTTATAACAGGCGCAGTGTCACATAGATTCAAGAGCTTGTTCCACCTACTCAAGATTCTTCAAATAAGTATTGCAATTATCACCGATCAGCGTAAAATACTTTGAGGCAAAAATAGATGAAACCACATTCAGTCCCATTTTTAAAAATACTCCACACGTCTTTTCACCTTCACGAAGAATGGAAATTCGATAACCCTTCAAAAGATACGACTAGAACAGTAAGCGGAATGTTGTGAGGAGTTCAAGTGGACTACACGTGCAGTACGGTTGGATGAAATGCGAACATGGGTCACCCTCTTGCTAAGTTTGTGAATACTACCTCCTTTTCAAAATAAGTATCAAGACCTGGTCTTCTTACTTGAGAAGTGTTCAAAGTTAGTGATGACTTACCAACCGAACACAAGCACCACATAGCGCGTGGTAATTTGAGATACCGATCGTCGATCACCCTCCAGTAATAACCTGATCTTATGTACTACTACCCCAACCATATATGATTTCGTCGGTTACCTGATCAACTATCATAATCATTTACCATTTTGAAAGTGTATTTCATCTGTTAACCTTCACCATTCAAAAGACGAAAATGTGTTCTCATATACAATAACCACAAATCTCACTTAGATCAACCAAGTCAGAGTCTCCAAATATTGTGAAATAAATGTCATACTACATCGCGTGGGTGAATTGCAAGATACTTATAACATTATTGGAGAATTTGTCAATACTCGGAGGCCCGGAAAATCCGGTAACATTATAGGCCATTCGGATCAAGTACTGTAAAATGCAAATTTAAGGACACAAGTCAGTAAATGGACCTTTTTCAGTAACTTCACCTCAAAACTGTACACATAATTAGGGATTTATTTTAATGTTAATTGACAACAGAGGTAAAAGTCTATTGATAGCTAGTAACAAAAATAAACTATTTTATGAGGTTTTTGCTGCATTTCTATGCCTCACCTTCTCCACACACGCTCCTGTTCACCAAAGCACCAAAAGCAAAATTCAATTCACTCGCTTTTGTGGAGCTAATTACCAGAAAGATACAGTTTAGGTGCGCCCATGAGGACTTACAGGAATGGTTGTCAAAAGGAGAATGCAGAACAGTCAACTGCTTAGTACTGCAGCACAGTATTACTTGCTACAGATAGCATCAGCCAAAACTTCTTTCAGTCATACATGAAGTACGACCACGCTGTTCCAAAGGATTTCGTTTACATCTTTATGCAGCCAAAGCTTTAGCAATCCATAAAGAGAGACCTGAAGTTTGTGTTCACTAACGTTTTGTTCAGCCTGTTTTACTACCGTGGCCTTAGGTGTTGTTTTTTTCCTTTTTGTTCCCCTGAATACCTATATGACAAACACTATTTAGTCCTTTTTATTATTTTTTGTTTTGCAACCCATTTTGACCGCTTTGTTTTCTTTTTTCTCACCAATTATTTCCAGACGATTACTGTCAACCCTCCTAATTAGGTGAGATTATTCTCAGATTTTTAAACATTATTACTATTACACTTTTGTTTATTTTGTAACTGACAGTAACAACTGTGCGGCTTGGAAATGAAGTTATGAAGAGATTTGTCTCCTGACTTGTGACATGGGAATCATTCACTGAAGAAGATTCCTAGTCGGCTACTAAGGTGTGCTGCTAGACATAAATTTACGAACGAAAACAGATTCAAGAAGGCTTGTATTGGATACTTGTTAAAAACTTGTATATTACATTCTTTATACTCATACTACTTTAACAGTTTTTTCTATCTTGTCAGACGTACCAAATAGTAGAGGAATGACACAAACACCTATTCAAACAAGTAGTTTACCAACCCTATGAACCATTTGGAACTCGAAAAAAATTTGAAATGAACTTACACTCGGGACAAATAAGCCGGAATACAAATACTGTGACGGTGAAGAATACCAGGTGTCAGCAAATTAGTAGGTTCGGTTGAACTGTCCTTGAGAAGACTTGTCGCCAAATTGTTACCTTGCGACCGATCAGCAGAGGTCTTACCATTCCAAGGAATTCGGATTTCTTCAACTTTTACAAGGGTAGAGCGGTACGGCAAGACAGAACTAACTCCAATCAAGTGAGGTATAGCATGTGCAGTTGGTTTATCCTCTACTCCAGTAAATTCTTGCAATGGGGCAGCAACCTGAAGTGAAAAGATGAATGCGTTTACTAAGTAACACACTATCTGTCTTACGGCGACAGAACACAGACTACGCATAACGTTAATAAAAAACCCAGCTACCCAAGACATATTCTTCACATTACTGGAAAATAGGACACTTATTACGTTAGGGCCGATGATACTATCCAGTTGCTCAGGGTGAAGTAGGTGGAGTGGTATTCAAATCATAAACACATCGGCTCACAGCCGAGTGCTTAAACAAATGAGCTACATCATCACAATCGGATGTGTGGAAAACGTAACTTGTAATCTACCTACATTGGTGGGTCTTTAGATAAACTTGAGCTGCTTTTGTTTATTAGTTTCACAATATCTTACTTGCATAAATCAAGGTCCAGTTACACGGTGCGAAGTGACATTAAATCTTCCCAAAACAGTAACTTAGTTAGCGAACGATGTGTGTTTTGCAGCTTAAATTTAAAGTGCTGGTATGATATTGGTTCGCACTCATCTTTACAGTTAAAGTGATTAAAGCGGTCCCTGAATTTAGGTAGCTGTCTGGGTAGTAGAAGTGTGACGGATAAGATTTTCGGCAGCACTAGAGAAACTAGAGTCGCATACGTAGATTTCCCTTACATTTTGTACAATTATGTTATTCTAGACGGGCTTATAACGTTTTGATGGGTGCAGTATATCTCTGCGCTTGTGAAACCTAGCCTCTTATCTAATGATGCGCGGAGACTCTGTTCAAGCATTGTCACAGCAAGATTATGTGTAGCCAGTGGCCTTTCAATGTAATTAATTCTGAAGTTTTAAGACACACACATATACTGAGAGAAACGTTTTTCAATAGGTGAGACCATTTTGCAGCGTCAGCTTCGAAAGGCTTGGACATGTGTTACGAATAGAGCCCCAGCGGCTTTTATACCGTCTACTGTTTACTAATCCTGAGTCTGGATGGAAGAAGCTGCGGAAGTTAACTCAGAAAGCGCGCCATGGGATGAAAGACAGTTGTGTTGGCTCAAAATCTACTAGAGCATCACGGCTTTTTGGGTGAAGTCTAATAGGTCATGTGACCTATTCTATTGAGACTGAATCAAATATCGTTCAGAATCGAAAGCAATGATGAAAATCTTGCGGTTCCCTTGTTTCTTCTTCAGTATTCGACGTCCCTTTAAATGTACTTGATAAGCACGCTTATACGGCTGTCTGGTGCATCACCTAATAAGTAAATAGTCGAATCTCATGAATTACTACCTTGGAACTTAAGGGTATACAGTCATGGAAAATGCAATCACACTCATTTAAATTTAGTTACTAAAATGAGATTGTAATCTGAGGTTTCACAAAGTTATACCTTATCACCAAAAATGCCATATTACTGAAATGACATAAGCAAACATACCTCTACATGGGCAAAACCACCTTGTATTGTAAGAACACGGCCAGGCCACCATGCTCCAGGTGGCCCGTTGGACACTGTGTCTATGGAATCACTTGTTTCTGCATCCGTTACGTTCTTTTTCTTCTGAGTAGAACCGGAGTCAAGCCAGACCTCGATAGGGTCCCGAGGTGAAAAGGATTGATTCGCTGAACCACCATTTTGCATTGAGCCGGACAGGACAGTTTGTTCCTCATTAGTGGAAAACGCATTGGGAGATAGCTGCAACTCAGATAAGCCAACTTTTATAGGCGTATGACTGTAGATTGATAAAACACATGAAATACAAGCAAAATAAATTCTCAAGAACTCATCAAGTATCCATTAATAAAACCAAAGGAATATTTAAAAATAAGAACAAGGTGAAGTGGTCAAATGTTAGAAATGCCACTACAAGCATTAAATGGTGTTTCATTTCTTTAATTCATGCTGACACAAACTACGCAAGAACTGGTAAAACCAATTTACACTAACGCACTTCACAATGATGGAGAAGGTTACCAAGTTAGGAAGCACATTGATGCTAGTAATAACGCAGGAACTAAAATTAATTCAAAAGGAAAAGAAGGTAGGATTTACATGATGAAGAAGCCATTCTTTCTTTACACTGTGCTACTTGGTCTAAGCCTTTCAACCACACACTCATTTAGCTGAGATGAAAAACTGATAGAGAAGAGTAACAAACCATGTTAACCGTAGATCCTCAAGTTTGCAAAATATTTAACTGACTTGTTCAGAACCTACATTATTCTAAGACGGATTGAATAAACCTAAGCCACTATTTAATATATACATATATAACGATGCATTTACGTGATTACATAGTTCACCGACAGACAGCAGAAAACCAGATATTTGTGCATATCGCTGAATCACTTCATCATCTGATCAGGCAACAGTCCTTAGACATTTTACGTCAGGTAGTTGAGGAATATACTTCAAACAAAAAAATCCAGCGTTACTTTATTGAGTATACTAAATTAATATTAGACCACCTCAAATTCGAAAGTCAAACGTACATACATCACAGATTTCAGTAAAAATGAAATCGGAATTTAGTGTCCAAATATGGAGCCAAGCTCACAACTATTCTCATAAGTACACTTGCTCCATTAAGGGATCTCCAGTATGAAAATGCACCTGAAAACCGCCGTTTTAAAATCAGTATAGTCACATTACTGCAGATTCATTTGATGCAACAAGGACGAGAGCTCAAACCTACCTGTTGTTAAGCAACTACCCTAAGCTCATATTAGGCGTTTAATCAATACAGGGCTTATGGATTAAAAGGAATCAAAACGCTACAGTCAGTCTCACAAGTCAATACGACGAAAAACAACTGAAAAGTTACGTAGGTGGAAAAATTGCTGGAAGTTGTTGACAATTAAAATGAAAGATAATGACCTAGGTAATGACAAGACTTGAATGAATGCAGCCTTAAACACCGACGAGTGTGACAATCATTCAACTTCTGGTTGGTCTTTCTCAAAACAATACTTTCTTACATGTCACAAACTCAATGACAACAGCTCCATTTTTCTGTCTATGTGCTTTAAAACGAATCAAATCAGCACAGTAGTGTGTTCAGAACGAACTTTCGGAGTATCAACGTAGGACATTTGCCATCTGTCATGACGCAAGTGTCAGGTCAGGTGAACTAACATATTCTGGCGAATAGCGATGTGCGGAAATGAGGCAAATACTTCTGACAAATTTTACTTGGGTCTTTTCATCCAAATCAGCTAAATTCGGAACTTTAACGTCAGGAAGCAAATAGCCTTAATACCCACGTGTCGGGGTAATATTTAGTTGTCCAAAAGTACACCATCTGCATTGCTTAACAGAGTTGCGGTTGTCAAGAAAAATATGTGGAATTTCGGCCACAACTGTAAAACTATTGCATTCTCAAAGGCAATCTGGCGAATGACTAACCTTTGAGTATATTTTATTGTACACGAAGTCTTGTCAATTCGAATAAGTAATGCCTAAGAAAAAGGTTATTTTATATCTTCGTCATTACTGGAATTTTTTGGTGTTCCGAGCCGATCTGTTCTACCGGGATAGAAAACTCCATAGCTGAAATCAAAAAAGGATAATTGCGCAACGCAGTGACTTTCAAGGTCTGTAACTAGTGTTTGTACAAACAAACAGTTCCGCCCAAATTGAAACAAAAATGTATTTCAAGTGTAATCAATAAATTTCTCAAACAAAAATTGTTATCGCCTGTGCGCAACTCCGTATAAAATTCAGGAACTCGAAATCAGTACATGTTTATGTCACAGAAATATTCTGATGGCTCTTCTTCTTCAAGCCTAGGTTGAGGAATCACACTAAATATCCTGGCCTAGTTTTACCTAGCGATGCTAGTGGCCGAAACAAAGGGGCCAAGGGTTTTAAAATGCCAATGGTACCGTTATGACTTAGGTGTCTACGCTACCTATAAAAGCGTTTGACCATAAGCTCCATTCCAAGGTCATGAGGAAACGCACACTGAGGTCTAAAAACTACACCCGACCAACTGCTCTTATTTCATTCTGCTTAACGCTTCAACTGTTCTGCGTCCTTCCCCCTGTTCTTGTGGTGTGTTGAAACTTAGGAAATTATTGGGTCACACAGCAAATTTATTTGACAAAGTCACACAGACGTTTCGCTCAATATGTCTTTCTCAAATCAAGTAGAAATCTTTCCTGTTTGAGTTTCCTGGAATACTATAAAATTATAGGAATACATAGTCAAAACACAATGGTATCACCGGTTTCCTATCCCATGAAGTATTTCTGTTATTTACCCCTTTGTTTTAACTTCCGCAAATCAGCAAATAGAATCAATCGGGAAGTTTGAGGTGACAGTCTCAGCTGGCTGGTTGTGTTGCCAAAGCTAGACGGATGTCGTGGTTGTTGCATTTTTGGCTTTAGTTCAACTTTTAATCATACTCAAGAGAAATGAAATAGATGGAATGTCTTTTGTATATATCAGCCGTCCAGGTAGCCACCAGGGACATAACCCAACACCCTGATGTAATAAATCAAGATCGTTAACCATTGACTCGCTTGAGGAAGATGTCCCGAAGCTATTCTGAGAAATTTCGATTTGTTACTGGTGAAGTAGATGTCTATTGAAGGCATCGGTTACGGGTAACGCTAAATCACGAACTGACAAAGTCAGAATCCACGAGTCAAAGAATTTTGGCACAGTTCGTTGAATGGTCGACAAACCTGGTCTCATAACCTAATGGTCATAGGTTTGACCAACGTGTTCGTGGATGTGCAATTCTGAAGAATCTCAAACTTGAATGGAACAGCTGCTCGGCGCTCCTCAGACTTCAAGTATTTCCGACTGATGGAAGTTCACGATGAAATATCTATGTCTATAAATATCATCGGTGAAGGCGCCAGGACATGTGAAGCACTGATATATGCAGACGACTAACGAATTGTCTGCACATACAAACAACAGTCAGCTGCATATTCTAAGGACTCATAAAAACGGATAACTGGTGTTAGAAAGCGTGGCTGCTTCTGCATAAGTTACTGCTGAAAATCGGTCTGCATGCTACCTGACTAAGGCTGAATTTGACTGAAAATGTTTACAATTGAAGATCCTATCCAATAACAGATTGTGTCATCGCTTCACAGAACGTCCAGAAAAAGAAGTGGTTGAAATCGCACTGGAGTTGAAAGAAGCTTACAGCACACATCTCTTAGTTTCTAACATTCAATATCTGAGGAAATGACCTGGGGATGTTCGAAAGCAGAGGTCACTAGCAAGTTTCGCGACCTTTCCTTTTGAGCATTTCATGCGTAAGGTTAGGCGTTCTAAACATTCCGGTTATGCTGCCTCTAAGCAAGCAGCACAGAGAATTGTAGAAGAGATGTATTGACAAGGAAAGTTCATAGCACCGATAAAATCAACAAGTGAGGTGAATGTCACTGTTGGTGTGAATAAGGAGGGGCTCAAGTACAGAAGTTCGGATGTTACTTCTTGAAGCAGCATAATGTCTCCATAGAATTCAATAGACTAGAATTTATTACACGTAATAATGGAGAAAGTTCAGCGACTTGGCCGTAAGCCAACTCTACAGAGTTCTTCGAAAAACTGTAAAAACCTAAAACATAGCCGTGTTAAGGTGCAGCACTGCAGTTTACGAAAATGTGTGTAATGAGCATCAAGACCTAATATGTATATGCGTACTCAATAGCGACAAAAACTACGAGGTAGATAAACCCTAACCTCATACATCCACCTGAGCCTTAGTAACTACTGGCCTGTACGGTGTTTGGGTCAGCTGCTGAAAATCGGCCTGCATGCTAACTGACTAAGGCTGAATTTGACCGAAAATGATACCACGTGGTTCAACTGTTGTTCATATCGCTTTTTAATGCTCCCTTAGGATTCCGCCGGAAATATCATAATCGCGCCAATGGTTATGTTTGTAGCACATATTAGCTGGATGATTCCTGCAGACACGCGCTCCCAAAAGGATTCCGTTGGTAATCTTGTCACGGAACCAAACATCAGGCTCAAGACTGATTGGAGACCCTGTAAAAAGCTTGTTGGTTGCGATAATTTAGGAATATCCATTCTATTTTCAACAAAAGTCCCCTGTTCAGAGGCGAAGTGACAAAGTGTGATGGCAATGCGTTTAGTAGTTGAACCGCTTGATGGCCAGGTGAGGATACGCTGTCGCCTCAGGATGTGAAACGAAAACGGAATGTTTCCATTTAACTGCTGTTAACAGTACACAGATTATCAACCAAGAAAGATTCCATAAGCGTCCCAGATTTCATGGAGCTGGAGGCTATAGAGCCGAAAAAGTTGAACGCTCCCAATATGTATCCTACTACTAACTCCATGGATAGCCCTTTGCCACCATCAGTCAGGTACAGTACTGATTCCATGCAAATAGTATCTCATCAACTCTATGAAGACTCTGCCGATGTTACCGACTTCAGCGTCAACACTATGTAGCACCAAAAATACGTAGGTTTCAATACTTTTTGACCATGATAACATGTATATATTCTCACCCATTTCTGGAATATTGTAATGGATATTTTACCACTCCTCAACTATAACATACTGGCTGCTAGCCCAGCTTCGAATTATCCAGATATATCACCACCAGTTATCAAGTTTGGATTCATTTTTCGGAGGGCTCATCGTCTTTTTTACAACTAAAGAACAACCTAACACGAAAGGAAACTACATAGAAGTTCATTATTTTTGGTGTAGTTCGCAGTTATGGACCTATAAATATAACCCCAGTTATCTCGCGAATCATGGAGAAAGTTGTTAAAGACCAATTATCAGACTATCTACTTAGGACAGATCTTCTTACAAGGTCTCAACACGGATTTCTCAAAAACAGGTTTTGCATTACTTGCCACTTCGATTTTTTCAACTGCACCACTAGTAGTCGTGAAGCACGTGATCTATTCGTTGTTCTCTACTTCAATTTTACCATGAACCAAATTTATGTAATTTAAATAACACTTATCCATGCCTGTACAATTGGTGTGTCCTACACATGTAGGAAAAAATGTATTTTATTGAATTACTATTATTAAATGTGCTTACTAATCGTATATGTAATTTATCATATTGATGATGCCTGTAAACTGGCGTCCCTCATGTAAAAAATGAGAATATACTATTATTATTATTATAAAAGCAAGGTGGTAATACGTCTTGTCGAGTTAATTTATGAAGTGTGTAGGTCTTTACAGTAATACAATTGGTATGGGGACTTCATAGTGTATATGTTTTACTAAATCTTATGCGCTTCCTTTATAGATTTGAGGTTCTTCAAGCGGTCATTTAACAATTGCTGAACGTTGCAATCAAGCTGAAATTATAACTCCAGTTCTAAGAATTGTTGTCATTCACATGGGCAGCAGTTCACAATTTTTTTGAGTTTTCACAACCTTAATACCAATTTCTCACTTTAGTAAGGGAAAATTGACTAGGTTCTTGGAAAATGTAGTGCGTCATTCTATAAATTTTACGAATTCTACGGATTGTATTCTATTCACTTAATACTGAAACTCAACTATGAGGGAACTTATAGTTCCAAGAAGGATGTAATACAGAGTCTATTCTACAACTGTCGTCCTTATTTTAGTTTAATTTTATCATGCATATAGTAGTAAAATTTTCTGTCATTGACTCTGGGGAATTACCAGGGAACAATCTAGTCAGCTTGGAGTATGTTAATGATACTATTCACCTAGGTTGTAAGAAGTGACCGTTGAATCTGGGGGATATGAAAATACTACTGGTGTTTCATCGTAGGTTTCTGTGCCCTATCCCCTGTGTTAAGTAGTATAGTGCGGTGAGTAATATTGGGGTTAAGCGTATAGTGTCAGGTAGAGATATGACTCCAAGTCGTTTTCAATGACACAGATGCATTCACTTGGTGTAATCTCATGTATGTAATCAGCCCTTATATTTTATTCTTGACACAATCCGCTCTCCTTCACATCTATGCTCATTAGAGTTCCATTTAATTTCTTTTTTCTCTACATTTATGTGCTACGTGGAATGTTATAACTTGAACAGGTGCACTTACTTGCAAATTTCTATGTTGAAAGTCAGTCAGAATGACATATTGACTAAGTATAACGAAGTGTTAAAAAGTGAATAATAATCACCGAAATACCAATAAATAATAATCTTATTTTTCATCTGGTTCTTATCTAACTGAAAAAGACATCCTACAATGATCTCTTATGTTATCCGAGATAAGTTTCACAGCCTTTTGACTCGTCATATCTCGTGAGTTCGTTTATTTTATCTCATAGCTTAAATGCTCAGTCGAAACACATCTGATAGAATACATTTTGTCTATTATCAACTAATTATAATATATTTCAAGTGTGGAATGTAGCAATTCAAACTGCTGCACTTGTGTGCTAAGTTCCATGTTAAAACTCAGCCGGTCAGCATTTGTCTCTGCAGTTGCGCAGGGTCACAGATTACTACAGTGTTAACTGGTTTAAACAATTATTAAAACCGTATCTAAGTCATACAGTGTTTCTGCAATCTTTCCTTCAATACATCTACTTGTTATTATGAAGCCTTGAGATTATTCACTTCGGGTCGCAGTACAATTAGTATTCTAATATTACTGGTGCAATTTGATGCAAGACTTGTACATACTGCTGTGAAGTTTGCCTGTGATAACATTCTCTACGTTGTGAATACAACGCTTCTGGAAACAATTTGTTATTAACTTTTCACTGAGTTGATAGGTGCATATTTATCAGAAAAAAGTTAACCTCATCGTATTAGTTCTCGAAAATACTTTCACTAAGTTCCGATACTTCTGCCTAGTACAAAGTACTACTTGTGGTCTATGAAATACATTTTACTGCATTCGTAAATAACTATCAGACTATTATTATGAGGAGTATTGAGATGGAAGGCGTATGAGGTTTAGATGTTGATGTGTATTTTCAGTTACTGACACAATATATATGTACATGTTTCATTTCTGAACAAGAAAATTTTATAGAGTGATGTATGGTTGAGCGCATTTAGTTAATAGTGTCTTCATCAGTGTATTCATCTTGTATAAGTGAGATGCTTCTGCTCAATCGTTGGAGGAGCTGCAATGCGATACCTCACACAGACAAACCTGTAGAGATGGAGGCATGTGCTACTTCACATGAACTCTGGGGAATATCAAGAAGGCGTCTCCTAGTTCGTCAATAATTACGGAATGGAGATAATTTTAAGTAACACTTTAAGTGGATTTTCTTAAAACCAGTGGCCTTCTTTCTCTAGTCATAACTGGCGTCACATCGGTTGACACGATTAAAGGAATACATTGTAGCGTAGTGTGTTCTGTGGCTGTGAACTGTAGTTGTCTAGTTGTGAATTGGTATCATGCGTCTAACCTTATAAAACTATGGAATAAGTTTCTCCTCTGTGGTACACTAGGATTTCTAGAAGTCAGGAGCACACTGTCTTCGGTAGATCTAGTTTTACTTTGCTACCGTAATTGGTGAGTCAGCTGTTTTGTGGCAGTGGGAAAGACAACTCTAAGTCTCAATGTTTTCTACATGTGAACACATTTACTCTGGCGACAATTTAATCTTTTTATCAAGAAGCTCCTGGGGATATCCATCTTTAATTAGTAATTCAAAACTAAAAGGAAACGACATGTTGCCAAGTTATTCAAAAGACAATTATGATTGAACTAGGACTTGCAGACACTTATTCTAAGATATTTTGTTAGTAATAATAATAATGATCACCTAGCCTATCAACAAGCCGTTTACTTTCAGTCGTAATTCAAAAACAACTTCCGTTACTCATTAAACTGGTAGTTCCAGGAGACTGATCTACTCGTGTCTTCGAAATAATAGGTCCGATTTTGTTTCATTTCGGAATATGTAAATACTAGTCTATGCATTCAGTTTTACATTCCAACCGTTGTTCCTATTAATTGAAACATACCTTAAACTATCAATTAGTCACTATTACTTCGTATGTAAACGATGTTATTAACTTTATCGCTTGCTTCACGTTTCGATTTTCGAAGTATCAGCTTTCCCTTAGGTAAGCAAATGTTTCAGTTCTAACGCGCAGTTCTAACCTTTGATTACTACATCAGTATGCTATGTTATATGCAATTCTTCCAACATATAGGTGCTGATAATAATTACTGCTAGTGAATTTGCCACGACAACAAGTATGTTCTGCATATTAACGACAATATAAATAAATAAATAAATAAATAAATTTATTCTCATAGTACAGTACATGAGGGACGCCAGTTTACAGGCATCATCAAATTGTTACAGAAATAGAACCATATAATTTAATCACAATTTACAGCCGGTAGCAAGATATGCTTTACATGTTCGATAGAGATTATACATACACTTGATAAATGTTAATTCCAGTAGTATAAAACAGCCTTTTCACTTATATACAATCATTTCTGTGCAAAGTTGGAAAAATCTGCTAGATTGTCAGTGAGTGCAACACAACAGGAAATACAGGAGTATTGTCTTCGCATTAACAAAAAAACCAGGTCTTTGGTGGATGGATTATAAGTGCCTGGGAAAAAAATAAAGCTTGAAGTAAATATTCATACATAACTTTGTTGTGTGCAGAGTCCTCGAATTATAGTTCATTGATGTGTTATTTTGAAATCAGTGATGTGTTTATCTCATTTGATCTGCAATGTCATTGTTGGGAGTAAGTACATAAGCTTCGGACGCATTAATTAATGGATTTCTACTGATTACGGGTATTTTCTTAGCGTTAGGAAGGTTTATGAGTTTCAGCTGTTCCGACAGGAGTTGAGAATATTGACTGCTCAGCAACATTATGGGTATAAGTTCATCACATTATCTAAGGAAAGGTGGGTTGCAGTTGGTGAGGAATATATGGTACCCAACGAGCGTTCATCTGTCCTTGTGATGTTGTGGTGAGTTATACCTTTTTCATGTTGTCGGTTTATGTCCATTTTATTCCACTTATTGTGTTGGGTAGTAGTTTTACAAACGAGATTTGTTGTCTGTTTGAGGATACGTATGTTAACCGTTAATGTTTTATCTAGAATTATAAATATAGGCAAAAAACAACAGGTGTAGTATTTAAGCTTATACATTAAATGGACCTATAATTTCGGAGGCTCTCAGATAGGAACTAGAACTAATATCGTTTGCAAACTCTTGTAGTTTGTCATTAAGCACCTTTTTGAAGGAGGCCAATGTACTTGCTTGACGCATTTCCATTGGCAGTTTATTCCATATCTGTGCATACCTAATCAAGTAAAACTTTTGCCTGGTGGCTGTTTTACATTGTTCGATAGCTACTGTACCCTTAGTGTGTCTTAGTTTGTAGCCATTGTCATCTGAAAGTCGAGTGCCATTAGTAGAGGTAAAAACTAAGTGGTTTAGAAGCTTATAGTAAAGTGTCAAGTTTAGTCTCAGGCGTCTTAGCCATAGTGTTTCTAGTCCTAGGGTATCACATCTAGTGGAGTAGTTCGTACCATTTCCGGTTCCGAGTAATTTTAACGTGAAGTACCTCTGCACTCCCTCGACTTTCAATTTGTCCTCTATGCGTATGCTACTATACATGAATGAACAGTAATCAAATAAAGGACGCACACAAACCTTGTACAACAGAATTCTAGACTCATTTCTGTAGAAGTTCCTGAGTAGAAAGCCGATAAGTCTGCGTGACTTTGACACTTGTTTGGAGATGTGTTCAGAAAATGATAAGTTATGTGAATATTTCAGCCCTAGGTCCAGTACAGATTCCAGTCGTTGAAGTGCATGGCCTTGAATTGTCAGGTCAAGTTCTAAATTGTTGCAACCTATGCAGAGCCAGCCACATTTTTCGACATTAAATTGGAGTTGCCAGGTGTCACACCATCTATCCATTTTTTCTAATTCTTGCTGTATGGCGTTTACTGTTATTCCAAGATCTGTGTTCTTGCATTTATACGTCACTTTTAAGTCATCTGCATATAGTATTGGTTTACCTACACTAAAGCATTCACAGATACTGTTTATATATATTATGAATAAGAGTGGGCCTAATACACTTCCCTGGATTACACCACTACTTACTGGTTTAGGCCTTGAGATTATCGAGCCAACTTTCGTTGTCTGACTTCGGCCACAGAGAAATGATTTTATCCAGCTCAGGAGAGGATCACATATCCCTAGTGAGCATAACCTGCTGACTAGCAGATTATGGGGAACTCTGTCGAAGGCTTTTGTTATATCGAAATAAAGCACAATTACTAGTTCTCTGTTGTCCCTACTTCGTGTAACTTCGTTGAAAAAGTCTATGTGACAGGTCACGCATGATCTCTTTTTGAGAAATCCGTGTTGTGATGGATTGATAAGTCCATGTTCTAGTAAGTTGTCTGACACTTGGTCTTTAACCACTTTCTCCATTATTCGGGATATTACCGGTGTTATATTGATAGGTCTATAGTTGCATACACTGGTTTTGGCCCCTGCTTTGTGCTTAGGTAATATGTATGTGGTTTTCCACACTTCAGGATAAGTTCCAGTTTCTAATGAGAGAGTAAATATTCTAAGTAACAAGACTACCATTTCCGTGCTACCATTTTTGTACATGACAGATGGTATGTCATCTGTTCCAGTACTACCATTAGACTTCAAAGTCTTAATCGCTGAGTCTATATTTTGCATATTAAAGTCTATTTCGCCTAATTTGTGGTTGCTTTTGCAAGTCATTTGGAAATTTGGGGTTGGGTGCACTCTGGCGTCATTGCAAAACCACTCATTGAGGAGTTCGCTTATAACCTGGGGATCATTGTGTATTATACCCTTATGCTCCAAGCTGCTTACAGTATTGTCTTTACTACTTTTTAGACGTCTCTGCAATATCCTACAAAGTTCCTGAGTTTTGGAGTTACCCACAAGCGCTTTATTTTCTTCAAGTTGTGACCTCATTTTGTGTTTCTCTTCAAGCCCTTTAAGAGTTTCATGTATTTGGTTTAACGCATTAAATTCCTTAAATACATGGTATTTCCTTTTCAATTTCTTTAGTTTTAGTCGCGTTTTGCGGTCGATAAATGGAGTTGGTGTCTTTAGAGCAGATTTTAGGGGCGCGATTATGTCTCTTGCTGAGCCAATTGTTTTGTAGAAAATATCGAGTGATACTTCTAAGTTATTGTTAATGAAGTATTCTTCCCAGTCAGAACTTTTCAGCAGATCTGATAGGAATTCCCAATCGGCATTCTTATAGTCCCTATACTGATAGTGCACCGGGGAATTTTTAGGTGTGTGTTTAGTTGTTAGTCGGAATGGTAGCGTGCAGTACAATATGTTGTGATCACTGTTATCAAGTTTATTTCCTACCTCTATCGAGATGGGCTCAATTTCATGACAAAGGATTAAGTCAAGAGTGTTTTCATTTCTTGTAGGGAGGCGTACGCACTGCTTCCATCCGCCTACGTCTATAGCTTGTAGTAGCTCGTCATGGATTCTAGGTCCTGTACAGGTATCCCAGTTTACTCCAGGTAGGTTGAAATCGCCACAAACTACTTTGTAGTCAAAGTCCAGCGTAGCTGCATGCTCTAGTATTTCTCCAATAGCTATATCAGTCATTTCAGGGCTATTAGGGGGTCTGTATAAACATCCCACGAGAATTTTATTTTCGTTTGTGTGGATGCTTATCCACTTAGATTCAGGGAGTTTGTCAGTAGTTGGGTTATTGAAAGTATTGGAGTTAGTGGATTTAGAGGCATATATTAAGCAGCCGCCTCCTCTTTTGTCAACTCTATCGTTCCTATAGATGTCGTAGTTGTCTATTACTAGCTTTGAGTCAGGTATATCAGTAGTAAGCCAGGTTTCAGTCACCATTATTAGTGTTGGCCGTTCTATGTATGCCAGGCAGCGAAGCGATGTTATTTTGTTAAGGAGGGATCTAGCATTCAGGAGCATAATCGTTAGTAAACCAGAGTTATTGGGGGAGAGGTTAACATGGTTACTTGTTACTATTCCTACGTTATGTTTGGAGGGGCTCTGAGGTGAGACAGAGTCAGTGTGTGTACTATTTCCTGGATGAATTGTGCAGCGAGTGGGGCTATTGTTTGCTGCATCCGAAAATAATCCTGTTGCATGTTTTGACTTTTAGCATCCATGGGTGGGCATCTGCGTTCATTTACTGGTGATATATAGTTTGCTTGACCTAGGTACCCTGTGTTAAGATTACCTTGGTAGTTGTACCTCATGGGTCTTACATAGTCGTATGCATATTGGCTCACATCACATGTGTGAGTGAAGTTATTGAGAGGGTCATGTGTCGATCTATACTCATTATGTTGCTGAGGTTCAACATAGATAGTGTGAGAGTTTGGAGAAGAATATGCATTAATATGGTGCCTATACGAGCCCCGTTTAGTGCTCCTTATATCCTGATGATCCGTTCTACGTTGCATTCCCAAGTTATGTGCGTTGCTAGGTATATTACTCCTAGTTCGGGAAGGGGTGTTCCCATTCACATGATGGATGACTTTTTTGGGAATATGGTTTTTTACCCATGCATTGTCTTTTTTTAGACTGGCATGTTGCTTATTAGACTTATTGAGAGGGAGGTATGTCGAAGTCTGGAGTGGGACTCTAGGCTTTGTCGTCTTTCTTGCAGTTTCTACTGCGGGACTCTCGGGCTTGCATCCAGATTGAGTGTGGTCTGCCAGTGGTTTCTGGTCAGACATAGTTTGTGAGTCAATATCAACCTCATGTATGTCAGCAGGTTTTCCAGATGTGCTCTCATGTACTTTAGGATTGCACCCAGTGACACTGCTCTTACTGAGTTTCGAGTCGCTTTTACTTGCCGATTTTTTTTCCAACACTATACAGGTGACTTGCTGTGCTTCAGTGTCCGTCGACACTTTAGCACTGATACCAGGTGTAGTTCTCGGTGTGGTCAACTTTCTATCGAAGGAGTTCTTGGTCGCTTGCCTTTGGTTAGTTGTTTTATCCGAGACTACTTTAATAGTCTTGAATTTAGTGGCAGTAGCCAGAAGATCTTCGGCCTTCTTAAATCGTTCAGCTATTATGTAGCTGTCGAACCTAAAGAGTATAGGACAGGGATGCTTTAGGTCTTTCTTACTTAGGCGAATGCACTGACAAGGTGCACTCAAGAGATTTGCAGCCTTCAGCAATGAGTGCTGGACCGACTTAATGGGCTCGCTATCTGGTACATTATACACTATAGCGTTTTGTTTCGAAGCCAGCCTTTTAACAACTTCGCTGGATAGAAAGTCAATGGCGTTTTCTAGCTCCTTCGCATTTTCTGAGTCAGTAGGCGTCATTCTAGAGGTCATATTGAAAAGCTTTAGGATTGTAGGATCCTGCAGTTCCTTTTTCATAAGTGAGATTGTTTCGGGTATACATTCAAATGAACTTAATTTCGTTTTTAATTCATCAATCTGTAGCTGCATCTCTTTAATAATGCATGTTAAGTAAGAGAGCTCCACTTTTTCAGACAGAACATCTTCCACCTGTATTACAGGGGTCAGAGTTATGTTCGAGTCTTTTCTGTTGGGTGAACTACTAATAATAAGGGGTGGTAATGTGTTATTAGACGAGCTGGTGCTATTTTCTAAATTACTGGTGTTCACACGAACACTCTTTTTAGAATTTCGGCCCATCGTTATTAAAGATTGATCAACAGTAAGCAATAAATGAATATAAACGAAAACACGTGCAAAAAGCGTCACCTGGTTCGAACGTACCGGGCTTTGTTGCAAAGGTAAACGTCTCTTATAAATATACTACTTAAATATAACACATGACACTAATCTCCCAAACTCTGGAACTCACAGCATTCGATAATGTTAATACTCACTATTAATAAGTTGAATATCCATTTGAAGAATAAGGAATATATTTATTGGTGATTTAACACAATAAAAAATCAACGATACTGGAAACCACTTCCTTCGACAACGAACTCCATGAGGTCACCGAAATTCTCGTGTAGCTAAAAAAAGAAGACAAGGGTTCACAAGATGTATACATGAATATCACCATTGATACAATCATTAACGAGTTGACACAATAAAAATTACTAGAAGTTTGTATTAGTGTGCGACTAGGTCTGTCGACATTTTTGACAAAAGTGCGTAGCAAAAGAAGACAAGGCTGGCAACAGATCAGATCTATTACGAAAACCAGCAGGTATTTATATGTATTTTACGTACATTAATAAGGCTTCTGCCCGCAGAAAGAAGGCGGTCTTCTGATTGGTTGTTTGCAAACAAACGCAGTCTTCTGCTTTCTCGTTTTCGATATTTTTCGGAAATGCGAGCCACTTGTCTGCGAATCATATTTGTCCACGTTTAGGTCAGCTGTGATTGGTTGTTGAATCAGCCTAGATTAATTTCTACCAATCAGCTTAGATCAATGTCTACCAATTGGCTAGCAGCTTGCTCTCACCACACTCGTCCCCCCGTCAAATAGCTTCGTACGCAGGCGTTCCGACCTTCTTGGTGCTACATCCTCTAGTTGAGGATTGTTGCTGATCGGCTTGTCCCACTGTACCCATCGTTGGAGCTGACTGGCATTAACTCGTTTCTGTTTGTCACCTCTTCGGACGGTATATACTTGACCCCGTCTTTTTGTGATTGTGTATGGTCCTTCCCACTTTGGCAGGAGTTTCCGTGAACCTGGCCCGCCTCCAACTGTATATCTCCTGTCTTTACACTTCACTTGGTCCCCGACTGCAAAGGTGATGCACCGCCTCTTTTCTTTCATCTGAGACTTCGCGACATCACTCCGCTGCTTCCGTATTACATTCTTGACGGCCTCTTTCCGCTCTGCTTTTAATTTCGTCGTACTCCACTTTTGGTGAGGGGGCCAGGTCTCGTTGTGTAACGGTAATCGTGGTTTTCTACCATACATCAGTTGAAAGGGTGACTTCTTCGTTGTTTCCTGAGTGGTAGCCCGATGCGTCAGTAAAATCAGTGGAAGCTCCGTTTCCCAGTTACCGCCCTTCGAGGCCAGCCACTCCTTCAGTGTGCGGTTGTTTCTCTCCGTTAGGCCATTCGTCTGTGGATGATATGGGGTCG